CCTACAACACACGTATTAATATGTATGTGTCGTGTGTGTGTTACTTATATATATATATATATATATATATATATATATATAGCACAAATATCTGTGTGTCTGTCTTTTCGTTATCTAATCACTCTTAGGTCGCTGTTCCAACCTCAACCACACTTTGTGAAATGATAGTTTGGAACAAGGGATGTTAATGGGGGTTAACAACTCCCTCCACCCCCATTATTGCTATTATTGAGCATTTATTATATTTGACATAAGTTAACGTTAACTACATTCATAGATGGGCCATGACTTTATACCTAAAATAAAACTTTATTATTTTTTTTTTAAACCCAACAAACACACTGTGTGAGGGAAAGCACACAAACGTCTTATATATCTCGGAGAGTGCTCTAGCACTCCGAATAGATGAATGCAATGAAAACAAATAGCCGCCACTATTGCAGTAATACCTAAACTCAGCTGAACTCCAACAGCCACCATAAGGCTGATATGAAGAGCCGTTTCTTGAGTTATACCCACCACCTACTTTGACACTTGACCTTTTAACTTGGGCCCGTAAGACACTTATGCGGCCAGTTATTGTTAATTAATTAATCACGTGAAACACTGTGGAAGGACATTAAGAAATGGGTTTTGAAAGCACCCCTACCGCCATTACTTTGCGGCTACCTCTTCCTACAAAGTCACCCTGACCATCACACGATGTATACCATGTTTTAAGTATATACATATTCAGTTCTTAAAGCTTATACAAAACTTTTGGTGAGGTAATAATAAATACTGTAATAATATGTTATGTTATAAATATATTATGTGAAAGTTAGGATTTTTTGTGTTATTTATCATAGCATATACACCACGTTTTTTATGTGCTTTTTCAGTTCATAACCCGGATAAAGGACAGATACCTCAGCTTGTTTGGTCTATAGTTGTAAACTTATTAATTCAGGTTTTACTCCTTGTTATTTCACATGACATTAAATTGGGGTGTTGTTTGTGTTATTTAAAGTATGTCATTACACTAAATTGGGTGAAATTATAATAATTTTCAAACTAAAGCACTCGTATTGGTTAAATACAATGCAATCCGTTCATTCCAGACGACACGGCTTTTTACGTGTGAAATTAGATGTCACAGCCAATCATGACTTATTTCACTTTGCACGAGTGTGTGTTAGTCCTATCAAATCAAGTATAAGTAATATTCCATTGTCATTTGCACGTTTCAAATCCCCGGTGAGTCAGCAATAAATTTTCGGACTTACAACGCTAAAATCAGGGTCTCGATTCCCCACGATGGGCAGAATTCCGATATAACCTTATATATCTTTGTGCTTATAAATATACACATTTCAGCTTCACTGTAAAACTTCCATGAATAATATATCTGTTTCTTTGTTTAAGCGCAAAGCTACACAATGACTATTTTCGCTGTTTCCTCGCACATATTGAACTTCTATTTTTAGCGTTATGAAACTTTAAGCTTACCTTTGAGCCACTGGAGAGCTCCACAAACAGACTATGTTGGTTGGAAATACAATGTTATTTCAGTTACTAATACATACTTAATCTAGAATGTTAATCTTGATCACATGATATTGTTTTTATGTTGATGTCTCAGAAATAATAAGTTCTTTAGTAGGACAGCGGTAAGTTTAAGGAGTTACAAAGCTAAAATCCGGGGATCGATTCCCCACGATGAACACAGCAGACAACCCTATGTAGCTTTGTTCTAACACAAACACACAGAAATGATAAAATTAAAGCTTTAATATTTCACATATTATGTGTGATTTTTTTGTTATCGAAGACTGCAGTGTTTTTGTTGTGTTTTTTTTTGTCACTGTCTTCTTTTGAAACTCTCATCGGTACCATCATTTGTATTCTGTCTTTTGTTTTATATCTTTTTTTTTACTCTATCTGTGTCTTATTTTTATTTCTCTCACCTCGGACAAGTTTTTGCTTGAAAACATTGTGTTAATTTACTTGTTTTTACTTTTGTATTATTTACAATTACAGGAGTTAAACTATGTAGCCCAATAGTTGTTCGTGGGTGCTGTTTTCTAGCTGTCTTCTTTCTGAACTATTAGTTCAAAAGACCTGGCATGGCCTGGTAGTTAGGGCGCTCGACTAACAATCTGCGCATCGCAGAATTGAAACTCATTGACGAACATGTTCGCCCTTTCAGCCGTGGAGTTGTTATAACGTAATAGTCAATCTCACTCTTCGTTGGTAAAGAATAGCCCAAGAATTGGCGGTGGGTGATGTTGACTAGATGCCTTCTCTATAGTCTATCACTTCAAAATTAGAGTAGGCTAGCGCAGATAGCTCTTGTGTAACTTTGGACAAAAATTTGAAACAAACAGGTACAGGAAAGGCTTTTTGTGTGTTAACCGAGTTCTTTAAAACTTTATTTTAGGTCATAAAATCTATCATATAGTGTTTTTATAATAATGGTTTGTGATAAAGTTGTTTTTTGTTTTTAGCGCAAAGATACAACATGGGCTGTCTGCACTCTGTCTACCGCTCAGTATCGAACCCAATATTTTAGCGATATAAGTCCGTGTACTTATCGCTGATACACTGGTGGACTTAAGAGAAAGTATGAAACAAAAGAAAAGCAATTTTGATTTAAATCAATTAAATATAATGTTTTTAATTTACTAAATCGAATCATTATTGGACGTTACTTTCGAAGTACTCTCAGTTTAATTAGCTAGCCATCTATAGCTGTGACGCACAAATTGTAGGGCGCGCCTCCCAAAGGGGTGCGGAGAGTCGATAGGGGAGAGCCAGCGCGCAACTACGACTGTTGAAGCATACACTGAGTGGTCACAAGTAAATAGACACCTAATTTTTCGTCATTTAACT